GATATCTTTAGTTTGCTTTTTTTCTTATATTTATCCACAAAAATTAATCAAGTTTGAGGTGGGCCATGCCAGCTTGATAACAATAGTTTGTCTAGTTCTTATACTCCTTCAAAAATACTTTTCACCCTGGGGAGAATTTATTATTATTTATCACTATTTTATAGGTGAAGAAATTGAGACCTGATGTAGTGGATATGAGACCTGGAGTAGAATGCATGTTTTCTTCCTCCTTATCTAGGAGTTTTTTCCAGATTATCAGATTGCCAAAAGATCATGCCAAGGGCAAGGAAGCAATAGACTGACCATGGCCAGATTAGCAGGTCACCATGATGTCTATGGCTGGACATCTAATTCAGGGCATCATAAATGCTCTTTAGCTTCTTTAGTAGCTTGCACTTTGATGGAGCAATGCAGGACAACAGGGAGAATGCTGTGTTCTCTGGAAGTTTATACAGACTAGAGCCCTGAGGGGAGTTATTGTTGTATAGGTGAACAAAGATTTTTTTTTTCAGTCATGACTTCTCTCTTGATCATTGGGTATACTCCAAGCAGTTCTGCATTATTCCCCATTGTGTGCAGTAAATCCTGGGGATTAGGTGAAGATCCAGTTGTCCTATCGCACAACGAACAATTCAAATGCATCAATAGTCTGAGTTCTTTAGCCATCATTTGGGTCAATGGTCTGACTTCTGAATTTTACCCGTAGAATCAAAACAGAAAACAAAGCCAGCCAACAACAATGAAACAATCGAACCATCATGAGGTTGCCATTAAAAAAATAAATTGCAAAGTAAGGATAAAATAATCTGTACTTTGAAAAGTTTAAAATTTATAATTCTATGATATAAAGGTCATTCTCATAGCAAAACTGTTTAAAAAGTAACTCAGAAAAAAAGAAAAAAAATTAATTGAATTAATTTAACCTAACGAAAATGAAAAGGTTCATTTTGCAATCTTTTTTCCATTTCTCTGACTTTTAGGAAACATTGATTGTAGACCATCTTCTGCCTATAACTAGATCAGACTTAAAAGATATCAGGGAGGAGAAGGCTCAGTCTATTTTAAAATAATTCTGTCAAATGAGATTCTGTGGTTGGAGATTCTATGGTTTCTCTGCTCGTTCAATTTCTAGTAAACTTTATATTGATTCTCATAATTTTTAAACTAAATTTCAAGTGTTAAATTGAAACACGGTTTATTTCATTATGCCCTCAATGGAGAAAAATGTAACTCTTCACCATCCTCCACGTGGTAACACATGTAATCTTTAAACAGTGTAAAATATCCCCTCAATCTTGGCTCCTTGAGTCCTTCTAACTTGTTCTCCCAAGTCTATTCTCCATTCATTTTTCCTCTTGGCACACAAGACAGTGCTGGGTGTGGGGTGAACAGGGCTGTGATCAGTGCTATGCCCACAACGCAGTGAAAGAGGGATGGGGGAGGCATTCCATCTTGTGCAAGCCTTGAATGAGTAATGAGAGCTGGCTAGAAGAGCTGATGACATTACTTGGGATACACAGGACACCAGTGATGTTGATGGAGAGTACAGGCTCTGGAGTCAGACTGCCCAGATCTCAACAATTTTCTCTCTTTACATGCTGGGGATTTCACCACTCTGACTCGGTTTCCAGAACTGTAAAATGTGTATGCTAATATACCTACTTCAGTTGCATTGTTCTGATAAATAACAATTAAATGGGTGAAGCTTCAAGGATGGTGCCTAGCGTGTAACGGTGGCTCAGGAAATACTTGGCAGTAGCTCTCAAGGCACAGAAAATCGTATGCATGTCTCCACTGTTTTTTTTCCTCATTACCTAATACAATAATGTTAACCCAGTAGGTGTTTAAGGAATAGCAGTTGGGCACTTTGGTATAAGGATGTTGGTATTAGTATATCTTTATTTCTATCTATCAAACTATGAGACTTTTTCATTGGCTAGAGTATCTTGCTTCCAAATAGTGGTTCAATTATCACCAAAGCTGAGCTGTAAAATTATAGTCCTACCATATGTCATTGACTATGAGCACAGACACTTTAATTTTAATTCATTTTGAAGCTGGCTGAGGCATCAAGGCTTGGTAGGCTGGAAAAAGAGACCATCAGTGTCTGAGTTACATGTGAACTAAGAGTGCTGAGTTAGGGCTGGCAATAGCCGGTTGTATTAAAGTTCTTCAAATTTCCTAAATTTTACCCATATCAAAAACTAATAATTTTTGTCTAACATACCTAGATATTCAGAGAAGATATTGTTACAAAAGGCAAATAAATACGATTCAGCATCATTCTCCACTGAGGACAAACTTTGTCCTCAAGAACCTCGGTCTAGTGTGTGGTACGTCATGAATGTACTTGCAGTTTGCTTCAACACCTGAAGATTGTGTCCTTAAAGTCACTTTTCTAGTTTCACATTTTTTGGCGAGACAGTTGTTATGCTGCCAGGGTAGCAAAGATAATTTCTACTCTGTCCTAACCTGGAGTGTATTAATGCCAGTGTGGGGTACTTGGAAGTGTTCACTGATATATGCCTCTATTCTAACCACAAATCACTGAAGATGTACAACATCCTCAGCTTTTTAAAAATTGAAGATGGTGTGTGCGTGTGAGTGAACAGGTACATGCACTCATGTTAGCCACTGAGGAGGTGTTCATGGCACCAAGCTGGTGTTATAATCAAGGTGGGACACAATCATACTGCGCAAAGTACCATCTGATTTCTCATATGTGAGTCTTGGAAGAAAAGTTTATAGTCACATATGACACAAGTCAAAATTTTAAGATCATAGTGGATTCAAGTTAAAGAGCCTAAATAAAAAAGGCAATGAAACCAATAACAAATTGTTTCTTTTTCTAAAAAGTAAGTATGACTCAGAGTAGGCATTGCTTTTGCTTGAAAACAAACACAAACTTTGCCACAAACTATATGTATGACCTTTAGCAGTATAACTGTGCAATATACTTTAGGTGAACAAAAATAAAAATCTGGATGACCGCAGTGGTAGGGTGTGTGTGTGTGTGTGTGATGTTTGGGGGGATATACAACTATACCTATACAACTATATCTATAAATTATACTGTAGATAACCACACTAATGTGAAAATTAATGTAGAAAATTAATCTCTGCCTCTCCTCATTTTGACCCCTAACTTAGAATGTCTCCTTTCATTAGCAGTCAGAATTGTAAGCTTTCTTCACACTCCCTCTTCCATATCCCCTTCTCCTCCGATCTCTGTGGCAAGCAGAGAGCGCAAGACAGCCTCTAGTGATGGTTTGCCCATTGTTTTATGTTTGTCTATATAATCATCCCAATTATAATAATAATAAAATATTTGTTCACTCCAAGTATAGTTCTGGGCTGAAAATAGGTAATATTTGTTAATAGTATTCCTATGGACAAAAGTCAGTAGCTTCAAAAAAAATAGTTGTTTCCCAAAAAATCCTCAGAGAAACAAGCAAGTGAATTTCTGAAAATAAGATTACCAAATTAGGTAGAATTTTGAAGGTGACACTTAGTTTACTGGAAAAGTAAGTTTCTCAATTTGCTCATCCACTATCTTATTTCTGTGACATAATGAAGAAAAAGAAAAAAGAAAAGGGTTAAAGCACACATGAAAAACAGAGCCATAAACATCACAACAATGACAATTTTTTGGAGGGAAGAGTGCAGAGAGGTGTCATGGTCCCAAGAGGGACTTCTGTGAGTAGTGCACCAGTCTCTCTCCAGAGGCTGGCCTTCAAGGACCTCCAGGAACAGACTTGGAGCTCTTTAATAAGTATTCCAGGGAGTCAGGCTTTCCTAGAAAAAACAAATTAGTATGAGAAGCCAGTACTGTGCAATTTCAATTTTAAAAATAGCCAAGCATTGTGAAGGCTGCTGTGTGCACGAGAGAAAAAGAAAGCCCTTGTTAATATTTGCCTCAGCTTCTACATTTAAACAGAGAGCTACCTTGAAATTCTTGCCTGACAGAAACTGCAAAGGTCATAAGGTTTATATCACTTGGAACCACTTTTTGGTCCCTCTAATGACAAAGTTTGGGGTGGAAGATTACATCCCCTTTTATCAATTGGTCTTTCAATAAAGGAAAGCCAAGTGATGGCTCTGCCTCTTTCACTTAGGACCAAGCTGCTCCTCACTGTCTATTTCAGCTCTTCATTTGCCTAATTGCCCTGTGAGGCCAGCAGGGACGTTTCCTGTACCCTTGGCTCTGCTGACTGCAGAGACCCTACCTGGCACTCAAAGTTGGTGCATCAGCATTTTAGGTAGAAATGAATGAAAAATCAATTAGGATGACTGCAGTGGTAGCATGCACAACTCTAACCTAGTTTGTCAATAACTTTCAACTATTCACCATAGACCCAAGCAGTGATAAGTGAATCTGTAACAAATGTGCTGCTTCTGCTTAATGGCTTTTTTTTTTTTTTTTTTTTTTTTTTTTTTCCTCTTTTTCTTTTAAATTTTTTTTTTGGTCCTCTTTTCTCTTTAGAACAAGCAAATCTAACCTGCTTAGGAAGCCACATGTAAAATGAATGATGATGTTAAGTTTCATGCAATTATTCTTTATTTGCCCTGGTTTAAGTTTCTAATTAGACCAAGTGATAAATATTCATCTACAGATATATCAAATTGTTGTTTTATTAACTTATACTTCAAATTCAGGGGTTTGAACAGTTTTTAAAAGTCTGTTTACATCCTTGCCACATGTCTTTGTAACTTGCTATAATTCTCTATTATCAAAATATACTGTTTCAAATTTCCGGATTTACAATTCTGCAAAGATAGAGTTAAACACTATTTGGACTCTGGCTGCATAAGAGAAACTGGAATTGTTCAGAGCTGCAGTCTTTAGCTCCCAAAGACAGCTACAGAAACTTTCTGAACAGATTGGGTTAAATATTTTTACAGACCCATTCTATGATGATAAGGCGGTAATAAGTTGTGCAGTGCAACACTCCAAAGGGTTCCAAATCTCACAAGCCTCTTTGTATGTGATGCTCTCACAGTGAAGAAGATTCTTTGGGCTATAAAGATGAAGAGTCTACTTCTTCTGGTGCTGATTTCAGTCTGCTGGGCTGATCAACCTTCAGACAACTATACTCTAGATCATGGCAGAGTTGTTCACATCCAAGGTAAGAAAACACAGGTTCTCTTATGAAAGGTAAATTAATTTCAAGTTACTTAGAGTGGAGATGCTTGGTTAATGTTTCTTAATTTTAGTTTTGCTGCATTGACTTTTCCTCTGTTAGTTGGTGAACATGTCCCCTGGCTTTTGAATGCTATAGCATTATAGTAGAGTTAAGAATTGGGAACAATCAAAGTAGAATGGCTTATGAATGTCCAACTACAGGGAGTTGGTGCAATTGTGCAAGCCTTTTTAGTACAGTTGCTGTCTTCTGAGTAGAATGAAGGGCACAAAGTTTATTTAAATGCCAGCTGAAAGGGGAGAGAAATAGGAAGTAAAACTTACAATTGTAAGGTCATTCTGTTAGAGTAATCATTAAGAAAAGCAATGTGAAAATGAAAGTCAGACAAGATAAGGTTCAGGAAAAGTAACTTACTCTATTGTAATCTCCTCTGGTAAATATTTAATTCCGATAGACCAATACATTGTCCCTGCATATTTTTCAGCTCAGCTGAATCCTGAGCCTGAGAGCTGTAGCAAGATTTGAGGCTGCAGTACAATGCAGCTATTTCCTCAGTCCCAGCTTCAGATGAGGGACATCCTGCATTAAGAAAGCTAAGAGACTTATGCAATAAGAAAAAGATAGTTTTAAAGGAGCTGTAGCTTTTTGCCCTTGGATGCTGAATAATTAAAATAAGAATTACAGAATTTAACAATTTAAATATATGATGATAATAATTTTATATGAACTCAGTTAGGGGACCAGAGGCATTATAAGTTTGCTAAGAGACTTAAAACATCAACTTATATTTTCAAGGTCAAAAGCATAGTCTCAGAAAACTGCATCCACTGTTGAAAAGTATGACTTGTGAAGGTCAGATGATAGTGTGAGTCTGCCTAGAAGTATTTTCCTGTATGTATTATAACTATTCAAATAGAATTCTGAATTTGACAATGTCTAGCTCTTTTACACATATCTCCTTCAGTTCTCTTTGTTTTCAACAGCTTTATAGTTTTCACTGTTGGACCGTGAAAAAAAATTATATAATCATAAATTTAACTATGCAAGCTGCTGACTCAGCTATTTCTTTCAGTATAAACAGTAGAATCAAAGCTGTTTTCCAACAATATATTTACACATAGAGATTTCTGATGAGGAATAACATTTTTAACATCTAGTCAAAGAATTTAATTCAGCCAAAAGGGTAATACCTAGCAATTATTAATAATAGCAGTTTAAAGCTAATGTAAAATAAACTTTAGCTGTACTTTCAAGTTATTATTAGACAGGTAACTGTTAGATTATTAACTGTGTGCAAACCATTGAATCTAAACTGCACCGAGTATGAAATATTATTTTGAAGGTGTATTAATATTTAAAAAATTATTCCTTGAGGAACCTTGAAGTCAGACTCAAGTTTTGTCTGCAAGAAAACTTCTGTTGCTCCAGTCTTTCCATTCCCATATATTCTGTTGGAATTTAGAGCAAAGGAATTTCTGACATGAGGTATTAGAATTATCTAGATTATTTTCATTCACCGTCCAATTGTTTAAAAAATGACTTGAAGTCTGCTTCATTTTAATTGTAAATTCATATTCTTCGAAAGTTTCTCATAGCTTTCAAGTAATAAAACTAAAAGGCCTACATTCAGAAGTTAACAATGAAATGTGAGTTGGGTCAGGATTATGATGCTATGTCCATAAGACTGACTTTGTTTTAAAATTGCTCCAAATGCTTGTTCCTGTTACTTTTTATCCAATAAAATGTTTTCTTTTTCCTTTATGATAACATTAATATTGAACTTTCATTTTCTTTAGTCCTTCAGAGAAACGCTTCCACGTGGCCTGCCATAATTTCAGTTGTCTTTTACAACACAAAAGTTAACTGTAGAGCATGGTAGATAATCACTGAAGCAGATAACATGCATTACTTTTGTGAAATACTAGATTATTTTCTCATATTTAAAATTTTTATTTATCAAACATGGCCCCGAAGGAATTTATTTATTTGTTTGTTTGTTTTACACCTACAGCATCTGGTCTTCCTAGGTGGTCTCCCATCCAAGTACTAACCAGGCCCAACCCTGCTTAGCTTCCAAGATCAGACAAGATTGGGCACGTTCAGAGTGGCATGGCCATAGATCTGGAAGGAATTTAAAGAAGCTAAAACTCTCATAAAATTTTATAAGAATTTTGCAGTCAGATGATTAAATTAGTAATCTGAATCTCAAATTCCTGAATTATACTATTTAGCCTTATGAGCTTCTCTCAGTAACAGAAAATTTTTCAAAATTCACATTATTGCAAAAACACCTTTTCTATCTCTCATTTTTCATTAAATTTCTATATTTGGATTCTAAATTCCCCAGACCTAATTAACACCAGGGAAATATGCACATCATTCTCAAATTCTTGCTAGCTGTCTTGATAAAAATGTACAACACTTTAATAATATGATCTTGAATCTCCAACATAAGAGTTACCTAATTATTTTTCTGAAGGCTTCCTCCCTATTTTGTTGTGGGAGATTATGTAGCGATATGGGCACAAAAAATTTTTAATCTGGCTTTTTTAAAAAGTCAAATTACCAGGAAAGAAAACGTGCAGACCCCTGTGCAGTGATTCTAGTGAAAAGCGTTTTCTAGTTATGAAAAAGGAAACTCAGCTTCCCATGGAGAGACATAGCCTTCGATAAAATTGAACATGTAGTCTATAGCCATGCTACCCTGAACAAGCCTGATCCCATCTGATCTTGGAAGCTAAGCATAGTCGGGCCTGGTTAGTACTTGGATGGGAGACCACCTAGGAAGACCAGGTGCTATAGGCATACAAAATAAAAAAATAAGGGATTGTAAACTGACAAGGTCCTTGCAATCTATGAGGTCAACCAAAATTTGCCTTACCTAAAAAAGTAAATAAATAAATAGATATCTAGATAGATAGATACATAGATAGATAGATAGATAAATAAATAAGATAAAATTGTGCATGTACTAATTACCTTTAATTTTTTTATTTAATCAATTTGTAACACAAAAAGGCAAGCTTTACTTGTCCACAAAGTCTGCTAAAAATGTGCAATCAAGGTATTAGCTTGAATATCATATACTGTCCCCAATGTAGGGGTAGTAATTTTCTCAAATACTGTTAAAGGAAGAGCTAACTGCTATTAATACTGTCTTTATAACACTCTTAACTAATGGCTTACGTTCTTTGTTTCGTGATGTGCTTAGTCAAACAACTTATAAATCTTTTGAAACTTGAGGCCATTGGGAAGAATTTTATATGGAATACCAAATCACATGAAAATATATCTTTTTTAATATTTGGATCAGGTCCAAAAACTATTTGTGTAGACTTTCAACTACCAGTAGAAGAAGTTCAGAGATGATGAATATACTTTTTATAAACACAACTTTTAAGAAGACATTTACATAGAGAGCAGAGAATTTTATGACCATTTTTCCATTAAGTGATGTAAAAAGCAAAATAGTTATAGTTTTCCTGCCTCTGGCATTCAAGTACAGGTCTTATGATGACAAGTTCAAGGGCTTTTCCCTTAATGCCACTTAACTGGCTTCAGACCTTGGACAATTTACTTAATCTCTTCAAATCTCAGTTACCTCATCTATACAGTTGGACATTATCACTGTTTATTTCCTGGAGCTTTGTAAGAATTAAATTAGATAATACAGAGATAAGAACTTAGTACTTAGCCTGGCACACAATTAACTCCAAATAGATGATAGTCGTCATTATCATGTTTTTTATTTCTCATTGACATGGAAAAGGGAGCAAAAATTATTGGTGGAAGAAGCTTATGCTTTTCAAATTCATTTGTTCAAAGAACCATAACATTTCCTTAGTTCTAATGAAGTAAACATTTTATGTTAATTTCACTATTTAAAATTTCCTCAAGTTATTAAACACTATCTAATTGCTTTTACTTTCCTTATAGAAACTGAAGCTTTCTAAGCTTAAGTAATATTTTCCTTAATATAATCACTAGGTGACCACAGATAAGCTACTTAAAAGAATAGTAGGAGGAAATTTTAGAAATGATCATTGTTCCCTTCTATATAATGAGTAAAATTTATTGTCACCTTTCTCAAAAGATAAAACAATTAAATTTTTTTCAAAAAAGAATTGTTTGTCTCTATGGGTAGAAAAAATGATGTATATCTAGAATCCCTGGCAGAAGTGGACACTCCCCACTCAGTGTAGTTAGTTCTTCCTTCCTTTGTGTGTCTCAAACAACTTCTCTGTCTTGGCTTACCATGTTTTTCTTTTTACTAACATACCTCCCTTTCTTCCTGTCAGTTTCAGTTTCCTGTCAGACTGTCAGTTTCGGTAACATCCCAACTATATAGTAGTACCAGGCACATAGTAGGTGCTTAATATATGTTTGTTGAATAAATAAATAAATGGAATGGAATACATCCAAATGACTGCTATCATAATGAGCATTTCTTAAATCTTGTGGCATTCATGGCATTTAGCAACACATGACACATTGCATGGGCTTAATGAACATTAACTAGGTGACTGCTTTCATTCTGTAATTTGGCATAGCTAAATCATAGTTTACAGAATTTAAAGATGTAAAAGGACTTTAGCGTAGATCATCTAGATCAATATTCCATGTACTAATGAGAAAATCAAGACCCAGAAATTTTATGTTGCTTGTCCCAGGTTGCATGGTTGATGAGGAGCAGTTTCTCCTGGCTAATCTCTCCCCTTCTTCAAATATGGGCTCATTTCTCACCTTAATGAACTTGCCCTGATTTCTGCACTCTGCCTCTCCTCTGGCACGATTATACCTCTCCTAGCTTCTTTTCTTTTTCTCTCTACTTATTTTTATGTATCATTTGTGTCCATCTCTGCCACAAGAACATGTTAGCTCCACAAGGGCAGAGATCTTTGTCTAATGTATCCTGTCGCCTAAACCAGTACCTGGCATGTAGTAGATGATCAATACATATTTATTGAATAAATCCAGGTACTGTT